GTTTTAAATTTTCTTTTCAATATTAGTCAAGTAGTTGCTGTAGGCAAGCTAGCATTTAACTTATCGCAATAGTGTATAAGAGATGTTGTTTCTTTCACGATGTATACCTTGACATACTGTATACAAATCAAATAAAGAAATGATGTTTACCTACTAAAAAAAAAAAAAAAAAATTGTTTATTTATAACAAAAATAATTTGGCCAAAAAATATTAATTACTATTATATATAATATTAGATTATCAAAAAATTTAGTTTAACTTTTAAACCTAATTTAATATATAATATTATCCCAATTATCAAAAATGATTAATTATTGATATCTACAAATTAGAAATTGGTCTTTAAGCCTCAATTTGCTGTGAAATAGCCTATTTTATAATTTTAGTATTACATTTATTTAAATAATTAATAGTTTTTTGATTTGCTGCTTGTTTAATATTTGGATTTAATAAATCATATTTCTATTAATTATTTTAAACTTTTTTAACATAATTTTTTACAAATGAAAAAAAATTTCCTATTTGGTCAAAGTTCAACTTCTCTTGTCATGTTTGTTGTATGCTCCTCATTTTCGCCTATCTATTTCGAAGTCATTTCTTTCTTTGGGTAGTACTTGAGATGATACCTCTGGTATCATTTTTCTCGCTAATTATCACAAATAAAACGGCATTTCTATACTGATGCCGCAAACACAACAATATTTATTCTCTTAAATTACCAATATCAACACATCCCAACAATGATCGGATTTCATTTGTCGTCATTCTGAATAAAATAAAATGGTTGTTAGTTATGCTTATGCGAATAAACAATCAACCTTAGCCCCACTGATAACTATTTGCAGTTTCGAGCACTAAATAGAGCCGTTGAAAAAATTTGCCTGCCCTCTGTGATTTATATAAAATGCTGTACAAAAATAAGCGTTAGTTTGCCATTCTAAAATCATTTTGAAAATACACAGAAAACATGTACTTATTTTGCTGGTCCTATTTACATTTTTGCTTAGGTCCGAAATAATGTATTACATTTTAGAAGTAATAAAAGTAAAAAAAACATACAAGAAGATCAATGGTATACCTTTTCACTAAAATAATCACAAGGAGAGTTGCGTCTTCCAGCGCTCAATATTAGGCCCGAAAATGTGGATAGCGTTATGAATAATCTCCAAGAGATAATTGTGTCGAGACCACCGTCAAATAATCGCAGTCTCCCTTTCACTTCCAGAATCGATGATTGTGTCGAGAAGACCACCGTCAGATGACCGCATAGTCTCCCCTTCACTTCCAACATCGTCCGTCGTCAGATGACCGCACGAACGTGTGGATAACGTTATAGATAATCTCCAGAAGATTGTGCCGAGAAACCACCGTCAGATGACCGCATGATCTTCCCTTCACACTTCTAACATCGATGATTGTGTCGAGAAGACCACCGTCAGATGACCGCATGATCTCCCCTTAAATTCCGACATCATCCGTCGTCAGATGATCACACGAACGTGTGGATGACGTTATAGATTATCTTATAAATATTGTGCCGAGAAAACCACCGTCAGATGACCGCATGATATTCCCTTTACACTTCTAGCATCGATGATTGTATCGAGAAGACCACCGTCAGATGACCGCATAGTCTTCCCTTCACTTCTAACATCATCCGTCGTCAGATGACCGCACGAACGTGTAGAAAATATTATAGATAATCTCCAGAAGATGTGCCGAGAAAACCACCGTCAGATGACCGCATAGTCTCCTCTTTACACTTCCAGCATCGATGATTGTGTCGAGAAGACCACCGTCAGATGACCGCATAGTCTCCCCTTCACTTCCAACATCGTCCGTCGTCAGATGACCGCACGAACGTGTAGATAACGTTATAGATTATCTCCGGAAGATTGTGCCGAGAAAACCACCGTCAGATGACTGCATGATCTCCCCTTCACACTTCCAGCATCGATGATTGTGGCGAGAAGACTACCGTCAGATGACCGCATAGTCTCCCCTTCACACTTCCAACATCGATGATTGTGTCGAGAAGACCACCGTCAGATGACCGCATAGTCTTCCCTTCACTTCCAACATCGTTCGTCGTCAGATGACCGCACGAACGTGTGGATAACATTATAGATAATCTCCAGATGTGCTGAGAAAACCACCGTCAGATGACCGCATGATCTCCCCTTCACACTTCCAGCATCGATGATTGTGGCGAGAAGACTACCGTCAGATGACCGCATAGTCTTCCCTTCACTTCCAACATCGTCCGTCGTCAGATGATCGCACGAACAAGTGGATAACATTATAGATAATCTCCAGAAGATGTGTCGAAAAAACCACCGTCAGATGACCGCATGATCTCCCCTTCACACTTCCAGCATCGATGATTGTGTCGAGAAGACCGTCAGATGACCGCATAGTCTTCCCTTCACTTCCAACATCGTTCGTCGTCAGATGACCGCACGAACGTGTGAATAACATTATAGATAATCACCAGAAAATGTGCTGAGAAAACCACCGTCAGATGACCGCATGATCTCCCCTTCACACTTCCAGCATCGATGATTGTGTCGAGAAGACCACCGTCAGATGACCGCATAGTCTCCCCTTCACTTCCAACATCGTCCGTCGTCAGATGACCGCACGAACGTGT